GAGACAAGAGATAGGTCTTCTCCATGAGGCTGTCCAGGAGCATCCAATTCAGGACTCCTTTGAGCAAGACTGGATCCCAACAGTGGTCATTCCTCCACGCAGATGTCAGAAGGGGATGGACAGACAGGTGGGTCCCCTCCATGAGTCTGTCTGGGAGCAACAACCATTGGACTCCTGCCCTATACAGACAATTCCACCAGTGGAATTGCCATTGAGGTCCTCCTACAGAACACAAACTCCATCGGTTGCCACTGCACATGGAAGCCACCAGAAAGGAAGCGGGAGATACCCAGGCCCTCTCCACGAACCTGTTTGGGAGCAACCACCACTGGGCTATTCATCTCCAGAATCCATTACACCGTGCAATCATCAGACTGGGAGTGATAAGTTGCCTGACCCGCTGCATGAGTCTGCCTTGGACAAACAGGCATTGGGTTCTTCATTCAAAGCTCAGTCTCCATCAGTGGCTGTTGAACATGGAAGCTCTCAGAAGGTGAAGAGGAAGTATCCGGGTCCTCTCCACGAACCTGTCTGGGAGCAAACAGATGAAGGGTCCTCTTTCCTAGCGCAAGTTCCATTAGCAGCCATTCCACAAGGCAGTAAGGAGGAGAGACGGCTGGACCCTCTCCATAATCCCACCTTGCCCCAGCAACCATTGCATCACTCCGTCCCAGAACATACTCGATCAGTGGCCGTTGCCCCTAACACCTGTCAAAAGGGAGGAAAGACACACCTAGGCCCACTTCATGAGACTGTCTGGGAGGAGATACCATTGGGAGTCACTCCCTTATGGCAGAGTCCACTGGTGATCATTCCACCTGACAATTATCAGAAGGGGATGGAGAAGCAGGCAGACATTTTCCATAAGCCAAGCTCTTCCCGATCAGAGAAGACTCCATCAGTGGCCACTGCACCCGACAATGGTCAAAAAGAGAAGGGGAGAAACTTCAACCCTCTCCAGGCACCTGTCTGGTTCCGACTAAACAGAAACCCAACCCCTCTTCATGAGCCTGTCTGGGATTAACTGCCATTGGGGTCCTCCTTCCAAGAATTGGTGGCCATTTTGGAAGTGTCCAGAATAGGAGGAAGAGACAACTGGACCTTCTCCATGAACTTTGCTGGGACCAAGTTCTGTGGGGTTCTTTTCTCCTACAGCCAATTCCATCCGTGAACATTCCATTTGGTCCTTTGAAAATATGAACATACCTGAGCCCTGTGTTGTCTTGTTTACTCCACCATGCCCCATACGTTAGATTTTTATAAGACCAGCAGTGTAAAAGTTTATCATTCTGTTAAGTGCCTTACAACATGTAGTAGAATTTTGAATGCAACAAGAGACATAAATAATGTGACCAAAGCAAAGCATCAGCAGTATCCCTGGTGCCCTCCCAAGAGAGGAGGGCATTGGTGGATACTGATAGTCTTTAGAATCCTGGTGGTCTCCTTCACTGCAAACCTCTTGGATACCATCTGCAGCATCAAGTCTCCAGAGGTAACCAAAATCTTCCCCCAAAGCAATCCCTGAAGTTTAGTGGTAGAGTTCATACTTTGCTTGCAAAAGGTCCCAGATTCAGTCTCCAACATTTGCAGGTAGGAAAGAGAGAGATACTGCTAGCCTCACCACATATGATGAAATCCTTCTTAAAATTGTTAAGGAATATTGGGAAATGATTTATAATGAAACGAAGAAGATGTTTAAAATAACCTTTGTTAAGAAACCAGAAGCTTTCCTACTAGGCATTATAGGAGTGGATTTACCAAGATCACAAAAGAATTTGTTTATGTACGCAACTATGGCCACACGAACATTATTAGCACAACATTGGAAAGAAGAAAGTGTCCCAGCTAAAGAAGATTGGCAAGTTAAATTAACGGAATATGCTGAAATGGCAAAATTGACAATGAAATTAAGAGGAAGAGATGACAACGAATTTAAGGAAGAATGGAAGGACTTTATTGCATACATACAGAAGCAATGTAGACAGTTAATAAATTAGGAGGGTTTTAAGATTATTTGTAATTTTATTATGAATGGACAATAAGTAATTCAAATGGTTAAAATTTTACAATGGACATGTACTACATTGATATACAATGGAACCAAGGAAGGGAATAGTGGGAAGTCAAACTGTTTTGATTTGATTTTTGTTTTTGTTTTTTTATTTTTGTTATTGCTGGAAAATTAATAAAATGTTATGGGGCAGGGGGAAAGAGAGTGTTGCTCCAAGCTCAGACTCTGTCGCTTTCACAAGCCACTCTTGAGTTCCTATACCAATAATTTAGGAACTTTCAGCAATGTAACTAAGCCAAGTTTTACTGCCAAGTTTTACTTTACATTTCTGAATGCTGTATGGAAAAGCACATGAACCAGACCTTTGAACAGTTTGTAAGTAAAAGAAATTTAAACATAAGAGAGAGAGAGAGAGACTGCTAGTTGCTGCAGACAATTTTGCAAGGAGATAGTATCTCTTCTGTAAGGGACGCGGGTGGCACTGTGGGTAAAACCTCAGCGCCTAGGACTTGCCGATCGCATGGTCGGCAGTTCGAATCCCCGCGGTGGGGTGCGCTCCTGTCGTTCGGTCCCAGAGCCTGCCAACCTAGCAGTTCAAAAGCACCTCCGGGTGCAAGTAGATAAATAGGGACCGCTTACCAGCAGGAAGGTAAACGGCGTTCCGTGTGCTGCGCTGGCTCGCCAGATGCACCTTGTCACGCTGGCCACGTGACCCGGAAGTGTCTGCGGACAGCGCTGGCTCCCGGCCTATAGTGTGAGATGAGCGCACAACCCTAGAGTCTGGCAAGACTGGCCCGTACGGGCAGGGGTACCTTTATCTTTACCTTTACCTTTAGTATCTCTTCTGTACTTCCTTATCAGGGATGTTGCAATGCTCTTAAAGGACTTGGACAGGTTCGTGACACAAATGTCCATATATTGATTTATATGTATACAGTATATGCCTTTGACAAAATCAAGATAGCAGGTTCCTGGGGCCCCACTAGCACTTCACATTACAGTGTGACAAACTGCCTGGTAAGGGAAATATTTATTCTAATAATTTATTGAACTCTTCCCCTTCCCATTTTTATTCCCACAACTACCCCGCAGGCAGAGCAACATTGACTGGCCCAAGATCACCCAGTGAGTTTCATAGCTGAGTCGGGATTCAAACTAGCCCTGCATGGGCACTGGCATCAGGCAATGTCATCGCTTACATATATCCTGGAGCATCTCATGCATGGAAAATGTGTGTATGTGACTCTGTCCCAGCCAACATGGCCAACAGTGGGGAGTGAAGGGAGTTGTGGTCCAATGGCAACTGGGTGGCCACAGGTTCTCCTGCCCTGCTTGAAAGGTAATCACCAGCACTTAGCCAAATTATGCCTCCTCCATAGTGTTGTAAATGATCAGTTAAGGGGTCTGGGCTCCATCTGTAACATGAGCACTGCTCCCCAGCAAATGTAGATAGGATTGCAGCCTTGCCTGTTGGTTAACTGACTTTGAACCAATGCAGTGAGTAATTTAAACAAGTTCCACCTGTGGACTAGATGACCCTTGGGGTCTCTTCTGACTCTGCAATTCTTTGATCCTAAGGCCCTCAGAGAAGGAGGTCTGAGGATCCCAAAGAGACAGTTCTGAGCACAAAATAATGCACGGTTTAACAAAAAAGGCAAGTACTCTTTGCTAGAAAGAAATGTCATCTTTAATATTTTATTCTTCATCAAGTCTTGGCAACGTGGGATCTTCTCATTCATTGTAGTGTCTTCCTGCAGGGGCCGGCCCTACCATTTGGCAGAGTGCCTTAGGCAACAGATGCCAACTCTCCTGAATTCTGGGCTGCTGCTCTCCTCTCTTGGAGGAGCTGCTTGTGCCACGTGAGCCATCCTATACTGGCTAAACCAGCTTATTGCTCTCAGATCTGTTGGAGGACACTATCCTTTTGCCATGCCTTTTGTATGTTTCAGCTACCAGTCCTTGCAGTCCATTCATGATAGGAAACATTTGGTTGTCTCATTTTTTAGCCTGTCTGGAAAACTCCAGTGAACCTGTAACCCTCAAGATGTTGCTAGACTACAGCTCCCATCATCATGCCTGCTGCAGCTGTTGGTTGTTGGGAGTCCCACACAATCTGGAGTCCCCGTTTTGACAGCATTTGGGATACAGTTTTGCTCGCCTCAACTCATATTGCAGAGTTGGAAAAAGGTTCAGGAAAGGGCAACCGAGATGATCAAAGGGAGTGGAGTGGAATTTTGGAAAAATCAGGGCAGGCAAAAGGAAACTTCTTCATGCAGCCCATAGTTAAATTACAGAGCTTGCTCCCGCAGAAGGGCAGTGATGGTCACCACTTTGGAGACCAATTTGGACTTTAGAATATCATCAGAAAAATCCATGGTAGGTAAGATTAGGTTACCAGATTTTTTTCAATGAATCTGGGGACACCTTTCAACTTCAGTGGATTTTGTATGGGGACTGATTTGTAAATCTGGGGACTGTCCCCGGGAAACGGGGACGTCTGGCAACCTTAAGGTAAGACTATCAGTGGCTACTAGCCCTGCCGGCTATGTTCTCCCTTCCATGGTCGGAGGCATTAATGCTTCTTAATACCAGTTTCTGGAAACCACAGAGGGGAGGGGCTGCCCTTGTCACCGGGTTCTCCTTGGGGGCTTCCAGCAGGCTTCTGGTTGGATGCTGGACTAGACGGGCCATTGTCCTGACCCAGAGGGTCTGCTTACGTTCTTATGGCATATTGCAAACTAGTTTCTCGCCCTTGTGTTAGCGGTGTCCTTTCAAGGAGGTTTGCAAACAAGGGGGGGGGGAGCAAACTCGCCCCCACCTCCTGCAGCCTAAACGTGCGGACCACCACCACCACCTCCTCCTCCTCCTTGCACATTGTTCACAACGAGCTCGATCCTTTTCCTTTCCAAACCCCTCCCCCTTCCCCCCCTAACCTGCCTCCAAGTAAAGCGCGCTGGGAGTTGTGTGCGTCGGGGGCACATCCTGGCCACTAGCCGCTGACCCAGTCCTCCGCTAGAGGGCGCCACAGCCTCTCTCCCTCCTCCTCCTCCTTGTCCCCGCAGCCATTGAGCGAATGGACTGGGCTCCGGAGCGCACGTTTCCTGCAAGGGGGAAGAAGCCGCGGCGGAGCACGCTCTGATCGTTGCAGTCCGGCGCCGGCGGGGTGCGAGTGGGCTGGAGCCGGGGAGGCGTCGCCGTGGGCCCGGCGGACTGGCGAGCCCCGCAGCCCTGGCCTCCGCCCTCCTCCTGCCGCCTCCTCCTCGCAGCATCTCTCCAGCCCAGGAGAAGCAGCAGCAGCAGCGCCGCCGCCGCCGGCGTGCTCCTTGCCTTTCCTGCATCCTCGGGCTCGCTGCCGCCCTCCTCCGCCTCCTCCCCTGCCTCGTTGCTGTGGGTTTCTGGTTGCATCGGGAACAAAGGAAAGGCTTCCCCCCCTCGCCCTCCCTCCCTCCTTCTTCCCTCCCTCCCCCCTCCTTTTCTCCCGTCCCTCCGGACTCCCGACGGGCATAGCAGCCGCAGCAGCCGCCGTGGGCGCCCCGATCGCCCCTTCCCAGCATGAAGGAGATGCCTCGGCTGCTGCCGTCGAGGCCCCGCCGACAGGGAGGGCTCCTGCTGCCGCTCTTGCTGCTCCTGCTCCTGGACGGCCACGTCGCCCGGGTAAGTGACATCTCTGACGCCCCCTCGACGGCACCCGGCCCTGCTTCCTTCCCCACAGGACGCGCACCCCCCTCCCCTCAATGCTTCCAGGTTTACGTCGCTGCCTTCTCCCTCCTCCCCGCGGCTCGACGCCTTGCCTCTATCCTGGGCCTGCCGTGCCAAGTTCCCTTGACAGGGGGCTTCTTCGCCTTTCTGCCTCCACCCCCCAGCCTTTCCTCCCGGGGGACCCTTAGGCGCAATCCGCACGCCCCGCCCCACCCTTCCTGGCTGCCCCTCGGTGGGGGAGAGGAAGGAGCAGCTGCGGGTTTTTGCATTCGTGGGGAAACAAGTGGCTCCCTGGGTGGGCGTGTTGGCTCAAGGAGGCGGCCTCCCTCTCTCGGCTTGGGTCGCGTCTTGTGCGCTTTCTCCCCCCACTTCCTCGCTTAGCTCGACCTTTAGGCAGTTTTGGCTCAGCCACGAGTCCTCTCGCCCGGTGGGGCTTCCTTCCAGGTAAAACGTGAGCCTTGCCGCCAGAGCGCAGGCGAGTTTCTTTGGCATTTAAGGCCCAGTCGATTGTGTTCAGCGGGGCATATTTCTCTGGAAAAGCACGCCTTTAGCACCGCAGCCTTGCTTGAAAGTGAGAGCAGCGGCGCTTTACTCCTAGGTAAACGCCCGTAAGGACTGCAGCCTTATAGTGTCTCTCTCCCACTTTCTTGGATTTATTTTATGAATGGGGCCTCCAGTGTCTTCTCTCTGGGAGAAGTGTTGGTGTTGCAGCCTTGTTTGGGAATAAGCCCCCTTAGTCCATGGAAGGGGGGCGGGGTCAGCCTCCCACATAACTGGCCAGGAACGCTGCTGGAGTTGCAAAGGGCTTTGTTGGGGGGTGGGGAAAGAGGTGGGACCCCCGTCTCCCGTTTATCTTCACGGTGATTGCAAAGCTTCCCTCAGAGGAATCGTTCAGCCACGTCAGATGGTGGTAATAAATAAAGGCACTTCTCGCTCTTCCTGGTCCCAGATTTCCATTCTTGGGGGGGCTTCCAGGCACTTGGGGCGGGGTGGGTGAAAGCCATATCTAGGTGTCATTTGAAGGTCAGCTGGGAAGTAGGGTTACAAATAAAGAAGGCATTCTCTTTTTCGTTGTTGTTCCTTCTGCATGCTTTATTTTGGGTGGGTTTTTTCCATAGGGTGGGTGAAGGTTTATCGCCCCCCTCGCCTCTTCTCTCTGGTCTGACTTGCTGGAACTGCAGTGAAATGTTGGGAGGAGGCTGGTTTCTGTGGGAGTTGCTGTCCCTGCCTTTCCTCTCTAAGCTGATTCTCTGCCATTCTGTTCTCTGTGTGGGAGGGAGTCTGGCTGGCTAGTCCTATTTGTGTGTGTGTGTGTGTGTGCGCTCGCGTGTGCCAAGGGATGTGCCCCTGTGGACTGCATATCAATGCCCTGGACCAGTTCTCTTGCCGTTGCTTTCCTCTTGCCATTGCTTTCCCCCTCAATTGTCAAGCCTCCTGCCTGAAGAAAATGCTGGCTGTCATTCCAGCAAATGATGGAGATGATGCTTGCTGATTGCCTAAAAGGGAAGGAGTGGGGTGAGGTTGGCCCATTGAGATTCTCTGCACGCAGTTTGGCCTCTGTGGCGCTCAAGCTCTTGCTAGTTTCTCTTTACCCGCAGGGCCTTGTCATTATTGCCTGTGGCACAAGCCGGGTCCCTTGCGTGGATGGGGGGAAGGTTGCTTAAGGCAGCCTGCCTACAACCTGGCCACCCTCTTGTGAGGACTACAGCTCCCATCATCCCTGACCACTGGCCGTGCCAGCTGTGGCTGAAGGGAGTCAGAGTCCCAACAGCACCAGCTGGGGGAAGCTTACATACCTTGTTTCCTCCAAGTTACCATGTAATATGGAATATTATAGGGGAAAGGTTATATTGCCAAGAGGGTTGAGGAGCTAACAGTTTCTCAGTTTGTAGGATGGCTGGTGTTTTTCCTGTCCTGCCCCTGCCACTCATAGAATCATACAATTGTAGAGTTGGAAGGGACTTCAGGAGTCATCTAGTCCAACCCCCCTGCAATGCAGGAATCTCTACTAAAGCATCCATGACAGACGGCCATCCAACCTCTGCTTGGAAACTTCCAAGGAAGGCGAGTCCACAACCTCCCAAGGGAGACTCTTCCATTGTCAAACAGCTCTTACTCTGGGGATCAGTGAAGATGATGCCTGGAATTTCCATGTGCTGCAGGCTTGGTAGGAGTAGGTAATGGTACAAAATAAAAATAAGACATTAATGCTCTAGAGACAAAGGCAATGGGGCATCTTCATAGGTACGCAAGAAGAGCCTGCTGGATCAGGCCAGTGGTCCACCTGGTCCAGCATCCTGTTCTCATACTGCCCTTGGGAAACCTGCAAGTGAAATTTGAGCACAAGAGCACCCTTCCCTTCTGTGGTTTGCAGCAACTGGTGTTCAGAAGCAGGACTGCCTCCAACAGTGGAGAAAGAACATAGATATCATAGCTAATAGCCTTCAGCAGACTTCTCCTCCATGAATTTGTCTAATCCTCTCTGAAGGCATCTAGGTTGGTGACCTGTGGGAAGGAGTTCCATTTCATGCACTGAACAGAGAAATTCATTTCTTCTATCTGTCCTGGGTCTTCCAATATTCAGCTTCCTTGGATGGCCCACAAGGGAAGAGACATGTGCACCATATATCTGAAGCACATTTAAGGAGCGTCCTTCCCATCACTCAAAGAGAATCCTGCAAACTGTACTGCTCACAGAGCTACAATTCCTAGCAACCTTAAACTACAGTTCCCAAGTGTGATTTAAATGCATGGTATGTACACAGCCCATAACTCTGGCTGAGCGCATACTTCATATGAACAAGGTCCCTGGTGCAATCCCTGACACCTCTAGCTGCAAGGAGCAGGTAGCAGGTGTTGGAAATGACCCTTTACCTGAGACCCTGGAGAGTCACTGCCTATCAGAGGAGGAATTACTGAGATTGATGGACACATAGATTGAAGATAACTTCCTGTGCACTTCTGCTTTGCCCCTGTACCATGCCATCTGTTTTGGGCCAAGGTGGAGGGTCAGTGCCCTTTGTGGATGGCATCATGTTGCACACTTGAGTTTAGCTAGATGCTTCAAAAAGTAAGGGGGATCTCTAGCGGCAGACACCCATGTGTCTCATCCCTAATGTCTACTTGAGCACTGCTGTTTAAAAGCCTGATTTATGCATTGTATTAAAATGTCGATGAGGTCACTCTGCAAAGCACTCTTATTTCCTTTAGCAAAAGTCAATGATGGGAAATGCCTAGATCATTTGTTTAAAAAAAGGAAAAAGAAAAGAAAAGGTCACTCTCCATATTTGGCTGCTGCATTTTCTGTGTGCCAGAACAAACATATGAACATAAGGAAAGCCTGCTGGATCAGGCCCATCTAGACCAGCATTCTGTTCCCACAGTGGCCAACCAGAAGCCTGTGGGAAACTCTCAGGAAGGACCCTGAGCACAAGACCACTCCTGTGGTTTCCAGCAAGTAGTATTCAGAGCAAAGCCATCATGGCTAGAAGCCATCGGTAGCCCTCTACTCTATGATTTTGTCCAATCCTCTTTTAAAACCATCTCGGTTGGTGGCCATCACTGCCTCCTGTGGCAATGAGTTCCACCGTTTAACTATGTGTTGTGTAAAGAAGTGCTTTCCTTTTATCGGTCCTGAATCTTCCAGTTGCTTTGCCATTGATTGGGGCCATTCCCAATTCACGAGAGAGTCCGTGCATCTTTCTGTCCTTCCCAAATCCAGTTCCTGGGTTGGGGTGGAGGCCATGTCTCTCCCATGCATTGTTAATCCCTAAACTATATCCAGGGTCCTGTTCCCTTTTTGTTCTCTAATGCCACCTTCCCAGGCCTGCTGCCTTCCAGCTTGTATCACCCCTGACCTTTAGCCATCCTGTCTGGGGCTGATGGGAGTTATGGTCCCAGCAGCTTTTGGAGGGTGGCAGGTTAAGGAAGGTGGGTTCTATAATGATAATAATAATAAATTTTTATTTATACTCAGCCCTTCCCTGTTCAAAAACCAGGCTCAGGGTGGCTAACATCAAATTTAAAACACTTAATTGTAAAAGCAGCATAAAATACAGTATTAACACATGAATAACAATAAAATTCAAAGTTCAGAAATCAATTTAGGGGAAATCCATCTAATAAGCATTAGATAATCCCCAGGGCTAGCTGCTGAATTGGTCCTACTTGAGCCAGCGAGGAGGCCAGGGGAGAATTAGCTATGGGGTCTCAGAGCAGGTAATCTTCATAAAAGGGGAGGGCGAGGGAAGAGAATGGAAATAAAAGATCAGGCTGAATTCAGATTAAAGGCCAGGCAGAATAGCTCTGTCTTACAGGCCCAATGGAAGGAGGTTAAATCCTGAAGGGCCCTAGTCTCGTGGGACAGAGCATTCCACCAGGTCGGAGCCATCACTGAAAAGGCCCTGGCCCTGGTGGAGGATAATCTGACTTCCTTAGGGCCTGGGACGTCTAAACTATGTTTATTCATGGGATTTAAGGTCCGCTGCGGGACATACCAGGAGAGGCGGTCCCGTAAATACGAGGGCCCTAGCATGATTGCTGCAGTGTAGGGATTGGGAACCTGTGGTCCTCCATATTTTGTTGGACTCCCAACTCCCATCATCCCTCACCCTGCTGTCTGAGGCTGTTGGGAGCTGGAGTTCAACATTTGGAAAGCCGTAACTTCTCCCTCACAGCTGTAGTGAGACAAAGAAATAGTCGGCTTCCAATATTCTGTCATAAATCCATATGTTACCTGCCAGTAACTGAAATAATAAGCAGATGAGGTACTTCCTTTGGGTGAAGGCAATGATTCTGGGCTTGATG